GAGAAAATTCAGTATAGGGCACTCAGATTTATTTATGATGACTTCTCAAGCAACTACGATGAACTTTTGGCCCGGGCAAAGATACCTACTTTGAAAATTAGAAGAATGAGGCAAATGGCTATAGAAACCTAAAAAATCATACACAAAACCACACCGCCATGTCTCCACAACATTGTCACACCCAAGTCTCAAAATTACAGCTTCAGATATACAAACATTTTGGACATCCCACATGTTAAGACTACTACATACGGTATAAAATCCTTCAAATATGCAGCAGCCTGTCTTTGGAATAATCTTCCTGAAAACTTTAGGACCACAACAAATTACGGCCATTTTAAATCTTTAATATCCTCCTGGAATGGAACCAAATGTAAATGTGCAGCCTGCAAATAATAAATATCTCACCTTACTCTAACCTCATCTTCTCTTTATCCAGCCTACAGTGTCTCCATTGAAAACTTTTAATTTCAAAGCCTTGTTTTAATTTAATTTAATTTAATTCAATTTATTGATACATGGTATATGGACTTTGTGTGTTGAAACATTATACCAATTATCAAAGTAATATATGAACAATATGTGTGTGATATTAGTAATTGATGTCTTATGTATTGCATTTTATGTACCATGTATCTGTATGTGTATATGTAGGTCAAAAGCTCTTCAGAGCTTATGTTATTTTGTTATATACCCATCGACTCTAAATAAAATTTATCTTTATCTTATCTTAGTGTTCTCTCTGAAACACCCTCTTGATTTATAGTGTTCTCTCTGAAACATCCTCTTGCTTTATAGTGTTCTCTCTAAAACATCGTCTTGCTTTAGTGTTCTCTCTGAAACATCGTCTCGCTTTATAGTGTTCTTTCTGAAACATCGTCATGCTTTATAGTGTTCTTTCTGAAACATCGTCTCGCTTTACAATGTTCTCTCTGAAACAGCCTCTTGCTTTAGTTTTCTCTCTGAAACATCGTATTGCTTTATAGTGTTCTCGCTAAAACAGCCTCTTGCGTTAGTGTTCTCTCTGAACCAGCCTCTTGCTTTAGTGTTCTCTCTGCAACAGCCTCTTGCTTTAGTGTTCTCTATGAAACATCGTCATGCTTTATAGTGTTCTTTCCGAAACATCGTCATGCTTTATAGTGTTCTTTCTGAAACATCGTCATGCTTTATAGTGTTCTTTCCGAAACATCGTCATGCTTTATAGTGTTCTCGCTAAAACAGCCTCTTGCTTTAGTTTTCTCTCTGAAACATAGTGATGCTTTATAGTGTTCTTTCCGAAACATCGTCTTGCCTTATAATGTTCTCTCTGAAACAGCGTCATGCTTTATAGTGTTCTTTCCGAAACATCGTCATGCTTTATAGTGTTCTCTCTGAAAAATCGTCATGCTTTATAGTGTTCTTTCTGAAACATCGTCTTGTTTTATAGTGTTCTCTCCGAAACATCGTCTTGCTTTATAATGTTCTCTCTGAAACATCCTCTTGCTTTATAATGTTCTCTCTGAAACATCCTCTTGCTTTATAGTGTTCTCTCTGAAACATCCTCTTGTTTTGTGACATGGCTGATAAAACAGTGCTGAATTTTATCTCAAATACGTCTACGGTCTATCATTTAATTAAAGCAATAAAATATCTGACACATGCTATATAAGAGCATTTGTGGACAGGATTAGGTTGAGTTCAGGACAAATCAGCCCAATCGGAGAAAGTAAAACTCAAAATCTGAAATGTCTTTCCATACTTATCTTTTATTAATGATTTCATTGTGAAAGGCATATACCATATGCAGCTAGTTTTAACAAGCTGCAGTTGCTATCATTACCAGACATGTCCTTACTTATAGATCACCAACACATGGGCCACATTTACAGACACCTTGTTTGTAGCAGGAAATAAAACACACGGCTTGACTGCCTGCCCCATCACAGGGCAGCCGTGTCAATACTATTACAAGTCAGTTAAAAAAAATAGCTGTGATAAAGTCAAAAAACATTTAAGAATCTATTAAATATTGAAAAATATTAAAAAAGGAAACCCAGTTACATAAAAATATTTAACATGAAAATTATACAAAATTCGTTTTCTTTGATATATAATTCCACAAAAAATCTTGCCATGTAATACAGAGTAGACAAATTATTTAAATGCAGATAAGAATATCAAATGTGAGGAAAACCAGTCCTCCACTACGACTTTGACAAGAATCCTACCCCAATCAATCAATCATACCAAATAGTTACTGTAATTGTTCCTAAGACGTTCACGTGGCACATTCCCCCCCACCCAAGTCTAAAAATGTGCAATATCAATTCTTGTGTTCAAATGTTCAACATTTCATCTGCACTTTTTGCTTTAAATGTGTACTTCCTTCAAATTATCTATATTTTGTATCACTCCTTAGTCAACAGTCGAACTGCAGTTTACATTATTTAAATCAATATATATATGATCAACAACAGGGTGAAAGCCAGTTTGTAAAGAACAATTGGCACTTGGAACATCCCTACAATAACAAGATGTACAAGTGGTGTTACCCTGCAGTTCACAGTAAAACAAATGGGGACGCATTTCAGCAAGATTGGTCAAATCTTTCCTTGTGTTATGTTCTGACCATGTCTACCTATGTACAGCTACAGTATTTACATGACATTCAGCAATACACAAGGAAAACAGCACTTTTATTTATACAAACAAAACATAATACACTAATGATACATCACAGAAAACGTCTAGCACTTATGATAAGATAGCCACGCACTCTTCAATTTGAAGTGGTATTCACACCACTGCCCCTCCCTTACACAAGTATGCCCTATTCTTAAAGTAACAAATAAATGCTGAAGAATGAACGCCTGGGGCATTCATCAATACAAATTTCCCCGAAACCAAATTATACTTGCCACTTTCAAGACAAGGACACAATGATTTCTAGTATAATGATTATGGATTCAAAGTGCTAAATGCATCAGGCGACAGGTGAAATAGTACTGAAGAATTAACTTTAGTTAGTGATTGATATCGGTAAAATACTTTCTACAGATATAGTCATACTGAGGTTCACTTTACTGCAGAAAACTAACTGTTGTCCTGAGGCTAACAATACTTCCGAAGACTTGTATTTTCTTTTTGATGTAAAAAAAGCACGACATCAAATAAAATGTTATCAATTTAATAGGAAGCTGTGCATTTCGTATGCAAGATTATAACATCAGAAGTCATTAAGTAAATTGGTTGAAACAACATGTCAAACGGTCATATATGCAAAGGTTTTATTCATTTAAAGTGGGTACAGGTTTTAAGGAAAAGTACTGACAATATTGTGTCCCAGAGATATATGTTCAAGTACAGCCAGCCACCTAGCACTTTGCTTTGCAAGTTCGCTTACCTCCCCTCAAGTTCAGTCACTTATAGATAATCCGGTAGTAAATACATGCAGTGTATCCGACTGATGGATGGCTGCATAGGAAATATTTCTTCCCCTTAACTTATCTAGTCTTAAGTTTCAGGCCAATAAACTTGCATGAATACCTTGGTCTTTTACAGCAAGATACGAATCTGCATTGGGGAAAGTAGGTTTTAAGATACATTTGAATAATCATTGAAGATTGGGGAAAATAACATTAAATGGCATTTAAAGATTTTAAATGCCAGAACTAAGAAAACAAAACTAAATACTGTTTAAGTATTTAACTAACAAAATGATAATTAACAAGTTTTTAATGTATACATAAACACTTCATTGCAATAGAGATAAATATTTAATATTTCCATATATACTTACTATATTAAAGTTAGCACTTTCAATGTTCTGTATTTAACAAAATCAAATAAAAATCATTATTTATCTACATGAAGCCGATACCCTATCATTAAATTCAGATACCAGTTTACCTTGGTCAGAGACACTAGCCTTTTATGGATTATTGAATTTCCAGACATAACAGTCTATGTTCTATGAAAAGATTTTGTCACGTGGTGCTTAGCTGCCTTGATGTTTGGCCAAACAAGACCCAACGGATTTCAATAAATCTTTACTTGTCCAGAAACTCTGACTAACAAATTGATAAACATCTGACACGTCTATGAGAATGTTTAAATACAATGGTCTACATTTGTCTTCTCTTGTCCATTAACACAACCAAGGTAACAGCTTGTCTAACTTAGAAACTGACCTTTTCAACCCTGCATTTTGAAAATCCATGATTAGGTTGAAAGACAAGCTGTTATGTGGATTTAGCAGTCTCTTCAACAATATCAAGCTACAGGATTTTTCTTTTGAATTTCAAAAGTTAAAAGTAAAATATTTCATTTGCTACTCCTGAAAAAAACCTTACGATTTTAATTTTGTCTGGCACCAGACAAGACAAACCTAACTGAGAACCCTGTACTGTTAACTCAGGTACCCAGTTACTGCTCCTGATATTCATTTGTCATCCTTTTTTTCAATAGGTCAAGTAACTGAACTAGTTTTATTTAACGGGAAATGTCTACACATAGGTTTCTTGCAACAAAGGAATATCAATTGATTGATCCAATGATAGAAGATTTATCAATACTTCAGATTTGGTTACTTCTCGTAATATACTATATCAGCTCATTACGAACTGGCTGAGTTACATCACTCAAACACTGGCATTTCTTGAATTTCACAATAAAAAGCATTTAACATATCCCCATCACTATAATACAACACTAACACATACATTTCAGTAATGATGATAAAATAATAAAATTTGATGTCACATAAACTCCACAATATTCTGATAGGACTTTTAGTGTTGGGAGTATAAGCTGAAGCTACAATTTGTTTCATCAGACATACCATACAACTCTATTTTCTATTTATAAAGTACTAAAAAGGTGAATCAAAAACAAACTTGGTGGAGAAAACGCTGCCAGGTTAATTGCTAAAGATTTATTGCCATTTTTATGTTCTTGGGACTGTAGGAATGAAGTAACATCAAATCTACATGGAAAGAACATTTTAAAAAAATAATTAAGTCTTGATTTAAGTAAATGAATTCTATTGCATCACTATTTTATTAAGGTTTCATAGGGATTCTTGATCATGATTATCGTATCAAATTTCTCTAAAAAAGAAATGGTTTCTAAATTAAGATGTATTAGTATCCAGTTACCATTGCCTGAATGTCTCTGGAATCATAATTTCATACTGGTACATATACTATCAAACAATATGGAATTACTATAACAAATCATTCAATAATAAAAACAGCAGTAATGTTGATGATCATGTTTCATAAAAAACACTGTCATACCCAAATCATCCTTTGTTGAACATACCTTGATTATATCACACTTTTCATGTGTACTACTTCTCGACAGAAATATTAAAATAATGACTCAAACATTTTTCGTTCCATTTCAAACTTTCTAAATAACTGCCATTTTATCTGGACTTTCAACAATAACATAAGGAAGTAAATATTTAGTGAATAGAAAGCTGTAACCTCATACGATGAAGATTTTATATTGTATCACATGAAATCCACATCAGACAATGAAATAGCACATTGTTAGATCCTTCACATCATTACCACAAAGAACATATCCAAACGTAATCCTACCAATATATCAATTGTTTTCTTAATAAATCTAAAACAACGTGGAAGAAATTATTAAAAAGAGGATATCTGGAAAAACAGTTATTCCGTGTACAATTTATAACATCAGGTGTTTTCTGATGTTTCATATTAAACATGACGGCCACAGTGATGTGCTACTATAAATGACACAAACATAAAAATGGATTTTTCATAATATGTATATACATAATATATGATGTTAATGTTCTAATGTAACTGATGTAGAGCGATGCCATATAGCAAACAATGGGTGTATACCCCGAACACATGAGACACTGCCACCTTCCAGGCCAGGTTCCATCTAATGGCAGAATCTCCATCAATTATTTGGTGTGACGACCTGGTCGTCTGTCCACCCCACCCTTGTTCCATCCAGGCGTCACGTGCCTAGGCTCGGACTTTCCAGCATTTCCATCAGGAAAGTGTCTATTGGTGTATCACCAATTAATTTGAAGAAGAACAAGTGTTCTAGGCACTTAAGTCCGATACTCCTCAGCGCAGGCAGTCTAAGTAACAGCTTTGCAAACCTCCCAGGTTCATCTGGGTAACGTGTTTTTGAATATTCCTCCAATGACGCATACACTTTCTCTCTAAGTGCCTCAACTTCTTGTATAGCAGACAAGCCTTTAGCATCTGGAACGATGAAAGAAATGTATTATTCCCCTTGCTTTCTCCAGTTGTATTTATTACTCCTTTACCAAAACTAGCATATGCATAGAGCAGATATAAACAAAGTACAGTGGAACCCACTTATTATGATATATCGTTTGTTACCATATTTTCCTCATGTACCGATTTTTTTCCTTCTTTTACTAAGCAAAAAAAAAATCAATTATTATGATATGGTCAAAGGTAGGACCCTGCTTATTATATTTTTTTCTGCCGTGAATGGATTTTATAAGGTAAAAACTCTGATAAGTTGTCCTTGTGAAACACCTGGACAATTACGCAATAGGTCCGGCTAACTGTACATCGCCTGAGGTCATCACCTGTCCACTCAAGGTAAAATTTTTACACCTCGCTTCACCAAAGTCGATTGACCATCGCTTGCTGTCATACATTTTAGTCGTAACAAAATATGTGGTTTTCAGTTTATTGCTATCTAAAATACACTGTAGGACTGTGTATCAAATTAAAATGATTAGGCCTACCGAACAAAAAATTTCGATAAGAAAACGAGCATGCCTTTCACAAATATTCACGGTTACCTTGACAAGTCATGTGAGAAAATCATACCGATTTCAATGAAAATATTACTTCAGAAGGAAGACGTGTGTGTTTTAATCCTTTAAGCAACAGTTTTTTTTATTGCATTAGAAGTTGATTTCCCATGTCTCCGTTGTCGCCCCGACAGCATGGTGCCAGGAATCGATCCAAAGTTTACATTATTGTCGTACACAGCTTAAACAGCTGCTTTATTTACTATTTACACCATATTCGTTAAATACAATATTTGATTATTGTTTAAAAGGGAATATTTTGTGTTTTTATTTGTTATTGTTTCTTTGCAAGATGATTTCATCGCACGACTTGTGAGGCATGTGATTGTCATGTGATCGTAATTGACACAGCTTGGCAAATTTGTTTTGCGCTTACGGGACAAAATGTTACACAACTTCTCGTTGCAAAATAGGTAAATCATGACTAGTTATATCACTTCTTTCATCCTATTGATTGTAACATTAAGATATCGTTAGCTACAAGTGTAGGATGTAGTATAAAGAATATGTTCTCAGGATTTTGAAAGTGAAAGTAGAATTTACCTACTGATCATTACGACGGCAAAACAAAAAACTTCTCGAATATTCCCAACACACTAATACAAATAACATTGAACAAATTATTTCAATTATTAATTTATCTTTTTGTATTTATATTTTTCCATGTTTCCACATCAATCTAAGTATGATTATTATAGGGCATCTCACTTTCAGTTCAGACAACATAAAAACGATCGAAACAGCTTGATCGGTTATTATGATATATCGGTTATTATGATATTTTTAATAAGCGGGGTCCACTGTATTTATGGAAAACCCTAATAATTAAACTAGAATTATGTCAGTGTGACATTACAGCTGCTCACCACTTTAAATTTAATTGATTCAGTAACACGTTGAGCATCAATATCTACTATAATACCTCAGATATGTGTTCTGTATTCTGCTAATTGAAAATCAGGTCATCTGATGATGTTGCGTTTAGGATTTTCAAAATCAATCACCTCTTTAATGATGCCTTAAAAACATTTCTCCCTCAGTCTCCTCTTTTTTCACCCTCTTTAAGTGCAACGCATTGTTGTAATTTTCATTAATTAGCATCCTCCAATGATGTGACATGAGCGTTTACGTGCAGAATGGCAATCGGTGAATGGATAATATTGAATAGGTGCATTTTTTGCTTGTGAAATGAAGGATAATTAACAATAGTGGGAAAACATTCATGGAGAAAAGAGACATTGTACTCCTTTTATTTTTATTTATTTTTTATTCATATTAGTGAAAATTATTAATATTTGTAGCGACTATATTTACCGTCATTGAATATACAAAATCTCACAAATGTTCTTGGAATATATTTGAATTATATTTCCCAATGCGACTTTACCAACGTAAGAGTTATTTCCCTTACACCCAATTGGATACTATTTTGACACGGCGCGAATTCTTGTCAAACAGCAGCGGCAGTTGTGTCATGTTCTTAAATTGTTACACTTTCATAAATAAATACACCAGAAATAGCATGCTGTGTTACAANCTCATACGGTTTATAAGTTTATATATTTACTTCTTCCTTCTACAGACAGCGTTAATGCTTGACAGTCTTCACATGTGCTTTCTCGAATCATAGGTGTTTCACACGCGTAACACTCCCCAGACCGCAATCAGAGTTGCTAAAACGCTCAAACCTAGTGCACAAATTTCACCACCACAACACTCGTAGAATGCACCAGAGATAAACATTTTGTTTTCAGCAATTATTTAAAGTATGGATTATTATTTGGAGAAGAGTATCAGAAGACTTTATGTAACCCACAGGTGAGTGTCAGAGATTCTACTTTCTATTTACGATAACAAAACTATATAGCGGAAGCATGCAATACTGAATTATGCGCACGCACCCCAAACGGAAGTGGGTCCGTCATTTCGTTCTCTGGACAGAATTAATAAGCCGCTCGGCTTTCGCCAAGAGCGGCTTAAAAAGATATTTAGGCAAATGAAAATTGTACTGCATATATCCCTGCACTAAGACCAAGACTTCCTTTACTGGAAGAAGCTATCAACAGTGTTATATATGTTGAAGATGCCAGCTACATAACTTCTGAAGTCGCAGACTTGTTGAAATGTCAAATTATGAATAGTTGCAAACCTGGATTAAACAGTACAATGGCCCTTAGACAGCCTAACTCGGTCTTGTCCATTTTCATCTCTCTCATCTTTGCAACAAGTTCTGTGAGGACTCTATCAAAGATGGTACCAACACCAGCCTGGTGTGCACTGCTTCTGTGAACATGGAGTCCTGTGGCCAGCAGTATACCATCCTTTACCACAATGGAGCGATGGGAGAATGCAGCAATCAGCAATTCATTCCAGCCTGAAAGACGGTAGCAGATATAAAATGAACACAGTTAAAATCAATCGCCTTATTTAGACAAGTTCTTATTTTAATTGAGACTGATTATGATGGACTTATAAATATAAGCTTTTTGATAACACTACAGAAGACCCTTATCCCTTTTGCTAATAGTTGCAACTAATGATAAGCAAACATCAACTTCGTTTTAGCTACCGGAATTTTCTTTTAGCAAACACCAACTTCGTTTAAGCCACCGGAATTTTCTTTTAGCAAACACCAACTTCGTTTAAGCTACCGGAATTTTCTTTTAGTAAGTTAAGTAAACAAGACAGTGTTACTTGATGAATGCAGATCATCAATGAACTTGTCCTCTTTACCGAAAATGACTACCTGGGGTATTACTGCTCTAGCAGATAGATTGAAAGTACTATAGTTATTAAATAAAGAACAAGAGAAAGCCCTGGTGGTGTTACAAACTTCTTGGAGGGCTTTTGAATGGCCATGACTGGCCTGCAGTAATGTGTACAGGTCCATTTAAACCTACTTTTGATACTTGTTCTACATTTGAAAAAAACACCATTTCATGCCTATTCCAATTCAACAGCACACTTTATGGTGAGTTTCCCTCTTAGGACATACCAGCACGCAAAAGGATGACCTGATCTTCCAGGGGTAGTTCTGTGAAGTGTGGTATTCTCCGAGCCCATGCCACCAGTGTAAATAACTGTTTGTCAGCAGCCTGGCAGATGTTTGTCACAGGGTCTTTCTGCAACACCAAACATATTCCACAAAGTAAAGCCCTTGTATTATATCCAAAAACCTATTTCAATTTTTGAACTTAAGCACATAAAAATAATATTTATATAAGCATACCTAGTACTGAGTCTGAACAATTTCATATACAGTAAAAATACTCCATTTTAAAGCCAAGTTTCACATTTTGACCAATCAGACTCTGAAATATTAGGGTTGGTACTTATAAATTTTATTTACATCTGGCAAGCTTTATATCACATTTAACTAGAGCATTCCAGACTTGTGGCAAAAAAGATCAGGCTATAATTAGTGAAAGCAGACTCTGACTTTCTGTTTCACCCACATTTGACAGCGACGCATTCCTGTTTTTGCGTAGGCATAGATAAATCTGTCTTGACAGCAGGCACCCACTACCATGTCACATGTCATTGATGATGGCATGGGATAATGGGTTCACAATATAACTCCAGTTTTTACTACATAAGAAAAGTGTGGAAGAAAAATCAATCATTCCTTGTGATGTAGCCAATTCTTGAGGCTTCAAAAATCTTATCCTCAAGTTGAGATTTCTCTGTCTACATCACAAAGGTTTGATAGCTTCTATTTATCTCAAGGGTTATAATCTGTACCACAACGCTGCCACATGGTCCTAGTGCTTTGAAAGGTAAGATGGAAAACTTGCTAATTTTACTGGCAGTTTTACTAAATTGATTTGTACAAATTATAACAAACACTTCATTACAAAAACTTCAAATTAACATTCCGAAACATCATGCTCCTGTACAAAGTGTAAGTATCCTGACCGGTGCATCCTTGCATGTGATGTAACTGTGACACAGGCTGTACCATTTGTTTCTGGTCTCAGATGAGAAGTACATCCATAAGTGTACACATAGTACTTAAAACTTGTTAGCTATCTATGGAAGACATCTTCAGTGTACATATATTATCATGAACATGATACTTGTATGCATACCTAGGAAATGGCCAGTTAAGTTGTTGGAGACATCCAGGATACTCACATATTGAGATAGCACCAATGTACTGCTTAGAAGTTTGTTAGTGGTATACACTCTTGTCACATAATATCATTGGCATCAAACATTCACACCAAATGGCAGAATTTGTGATATCCAAGATGTTTAATTTAGATTTTTTGTTTTTATTTTGCTGAAAAATGAAAATGGATCAAAAGACAAGAGCAAGATGATCTTCAAGAGGCAGTAAATGCTCTAAAGTTATCCAACATTAATTGTTCTTATGAGGAAGCTAAATACAGACTAGTAAAAACAGTTAATTTATTTTATACTGCCTTAAAAAAGTAATGATCTAAAAGAAATGAAAGTAAACCAATTGTCTGATCCGTGTACACAAGAGGCCTGTTGAATTGGTAACCACTGTCTGTGCCTACCAAGTAAACACAGTATTTTAACTCCCCTGGAGCTCTTAATGCTGTCAAACCTACAACCAAGGTTTCTATTATTGGACATTATTTTCCAGAGTGATTTTTCTTCATCTCATGATCAGGGCTTAAAATTTTGTCCATCAATAATTAACAGGCCTCGGTAAATGTGTTATTGATCCTGGTTAACCAACCACAAATGCATGTTTGCTGCATAAAGACAATTTCTTCTCCCTACAAGACACAGCGTCTTTGGTAAATACATCTGTTTTGAAGTTCTAAAAGTTTCCAAGTGAGAAGTCTAGTGCATAAAACATTTACCTGACCATTACAGGGCTATGCAATGACCATAACGTGTTGTATCACACTGTGCTTACTGCAACCTAAACTAACAGTTCTACATTAACAATTCATGTCTACCACACAAACCTACTTCCTAATGAAGCCTATAGTGTCAAGTATCAGGAATACCATGGAAATGTCAGAGCAATTGTTCAGTGACAACAGATTGCAAACTTTAAGACACTCAAAACTACAATAACCCTCTCTTTGAAAGTAATTGCCTTCCATGAACCTTGCTGTGTGTTTGTTGATTGAATCTATGTCTACCATAGACCCAAGATGTTTTTACATTTTAGTAATATAAATCTATGAAATAGTCTTACTATTGCCTACATCTTGGCACTTTTGTTGGTGACTTACCTACGTGTCTATGAATTAGCTATATAAAATTGTGTGTATTTAACCAGTGCGTCACGCTGGAATCTGTTCTGACCTTAGTGTATTTATGTTGGTGACTCATCTGTGTCTCACGGTTTTGATGTATCTTACCTGCGTGTCTATGTAGGTGTCTAGTTTCGGATCGACAGACAGCTCTGCATCTAGAACCTTTTCAACAGGCATGTCCGAGTTAGCACTACTGGTACTCTCCACCTCGCCTTCACCCTTCTCCTTCACACGTTGTCTCTCCTCTTGGACAGCTGCAAGGCAAGCTGTAATCACTAAGTTGACTTGTTCTGATCCACCCTTGATACCACAGAATACCAAGAGTCACCCATACCCTATACAGCTTAAACCTCAGTTATACTTTTTCAAGATTTGTTTCAAATACTATCCTTTATGTGTTATCATACTATCATATTTAACTGATGAATTTACAAATCAATGAACTCTTTGAAAACCATACCATATCAACTTCTACCATTGCTTTTCGATTATCTGACATCAATTCATAATAAGAATAAATACATACAATGTAGGATTAATCTGTCATCTCCTCCTTACATTATCAGACGAAGATTTAATGGATAATCAGGTGTGTTTTTTCTATTTTTATCAAAGTAGGACAACTTCTGAAACTTGTTCGTGTTAACCTATCTTGTACATGTAATGACATGTAGATACAAGCCAGATTTGCGTTATAAGATGAGACTTGCATTCTGGTGGTATACAGAGGTTTAGACATTTAAGCATAGTGTTAATCAAATATGCAACTTAATATGATAGAAGATACTTGAAATCAAGGAAAGATCATGGGAAACTGACAATCAACACCAACTTTATCCAAGTAAAAAAATCTTATGTTTCTGTTAATTACAAGGTAAGAAAGCATTTCACTGGGTTAAAGTGACATCAACTTTCACTGATCCACAACAGACCTCGACCAAATCTACCAGCTCTTATATCAGACATTGGGTTTCTTTTTGCCAAGAAGAATTTTTGGAAATCTATATATGTAGAACACAAATGTAAACTGATCAGAACTAATTGCTATAGTTATAGTTCTGACATACAAGCAAGCTCTATGTGCAAATAGAAAACATGTACATTGTACCTGAATAGTGACTATATTAACACCGATACAATTCTATAACGTACTAGTAGAGCATGCATACATCTGCCTTTAAAAAGAGCATGTGTGCTGAAATTGAGCCGACATTGAAAGTTGACCAAAACATATTAAATTCATTGTATATGTACATTTAGTTTTAAAAACACATCAGTAAAATATATGGCTATAACTATAAATAAATTTCAATGTTAGTAAACAGCTCTAGCTGAAAGCAGTATTGAAAAATACAAACCAATGTAAGAATTACATTATATGTCAAAGAATTTTCACATAATTCTATTTCAAAAATACCATTGGTGCTCAGCAAGTTAAGATAATTAGAATGCGGAAACCTCCAAAATATAACAGCCACAATAGACACACTTTTGTAGTAATAAGGTAATTAAATGATGCTGAAGGGATATGGCAGGATAGGGGTAAGGGCCCTTATGGGGTTGAAACATTGAATTTACAATATTAAATACAAAACACAGGACGATTTTTGATGTAAAACCTTATTTTGGAGAAGATATTCTGTGGTATACATTATACAGATTGGCAACTAGCAATGCACTTTTTAAAACAATATAACATATATTAACATGTATGAATATGCACACTCATAATTAACATTACATTGTGAATCTGTTGTGTATACATGGCAACATTACAAAGCGTTATTTATAGATACCTTCATCTGGGTCAAGGCCACTAATACTACTACTGCCAGAGGAAGGGGATGAATTTATTGCTGTTGAAAAGAAATACAAGTACTTCAGAGATCCTGTCAAATTTAGCACTATGAATTGAAATTCAAACTTATTGAAATACCTGAATACAAGTGAGGTGTCTTTAATCAGGAATTATTCTAGATTTCTTCGGGACAAAGCAAAAGAAAACCAAACTGTATAAATGTAGAAAGTGCCTATACTTAGAATGGTGTTGTCAGGGTTTTTTCCATGAAATCTTTCGTTGATCAATATATTGTAACTAAAATTTAAAATCTGTTTAGCAAGGACTTTTTCCATTCATTTTCCAATTTGCTTATGACACCACTCTATTTCAGGAAAAGATTTAGTTGCCTTGACCCACGGATTGAAATAATGGTTAGACACTATAAGTTAGTTTCTTGTTCTTTTAAACTTTGAAAACAATTATACAAATAATTTCAACAAAGACAGGGATCCCCTGAATTGGGTTGCAATCACAAGGGGATATTTGAGGTATTTTGTCTATGATATTGTATGTGAAACAGGCAAATAAAAACGAAAACAAAACCCCCGGAGTACTGTAGTCAATATTAATAGTCCTCGGGAGACTCATAGGGCCAAATATTTGAACCTGTCCTTTAAGTCCAGCAAAGCCCATTTATCAATATAGTGTTGGTGGCCTCCTCCCCTTATTTTGTTAACTGCAACTTGTTTCGTAATTAGTTTATAGATACATAATGTGAAACAATCTATAAAATGTTATACTCACTGGCATGATGGCCCAGTGAAACAGAACTGTTGCCAAAAATTTGTTAACAGGTTTTTATTTTTAAATTGCAGATACCCAATTAAGATTTTTTGGTGAAAAACTGATATTGCAACCAAAATGATCCCTGCAAAGAACAAGAAAATAACTTGCAGTGGCCTAATACATATATATATATATATGTTATTGAGTATATATTATACATATTTTAAATTGAATAATGTTACATATCACTGTAGGAAAGGTACCAGAAGAATATAACAAAGCAGACAAACTCGTGATCAGTACAACACAACAGAAAGACTAAGTAATAGGCTGTGGTAAGTTGTTTAAAGTAAAATTGTTGTCCCCCCCCCCCCAAACATAAAAGATAGTATCCATCCTACAGCCTAGTAAGTGAATAAAAGCCTACATTAATCTATAAGTATAAGCACAGAGTACATGTACCTTTTGCAAATTATTAAAATAGAAATCATGCAATCTGAAATTGTTTTTGTTGAAGTTTTAAGGAATGAATTATATTTGCATAGGGCAAAACTTACAGCTACCTTTTATTTTGAAAAACCACAGGTATATGCTTATATATATATGTTTGTGTAACATAGTGTTGCAAGTCACAGTGTGATGTATAGAATGACTCATGCAAAAGTAAGCCACCTTCTGTAACATTCGTCCTTCGATTCCTGCTAACAAGGTTAGCAGTCTTACAAGAAAATTCAGACAACCCCCTCCACAAACTGAGTAAATCAATATGTCTCAATGTTGCTGTGTACGTCATATGATTTCTCCATGTATAGAAACTAAGCGGATATTGTGATAAATCAATTCTGGTTCCTTTGTTGCCAGATGGTGGTGGAATCTTATGTGTGAACAAGTTGTATCTACTGAGATGATGCATTAATATGGTAGACTAATTCAATCACTCAGAGGCCCACGATCAGCACTAGCTAAAAAGTAGGGGGCCATCTTCCTGAACATTTCCTCATTTATCTTCTACATGATCCAAATATGGAAAATATACTCAACTATTGATGCAGTCATCAACTTTCATTTTCTTACAAACGAAGTTTCATTTCACCATCCAATATTGGCAATAAAAGCCAACTACTGGTTTCTTAAGTTATGCTAACTATCTTTCTTGGAGAAATATGTACACAAAGATATCATCGAAAATAAACACGAACCAAGCAATATTCATACATTGTATTAAACTTGTTTGACACATTTTAATATTTGTTTTATTAAGTATACATCTAGCTATCAAAATTGCACATAGCTGAATAAATACCCCTTGGAGATAAAATAGCTAGTTCTTCCCTTTTTTCAACTTATGGTCATGGCTATAGGTGCTATTTTCTTTTTCCTGTGTAAACACTAAGTAACATTTGACAATCAATGTACATGTTTCACAGGTGGACAGAGTCAGCATGTTTAATCCCATGCATTTAAAGTGACTAATCTGAACATGGAAAAATTAAAAGCTGATGTACTATATGTGGCCTACAGTATTGAGATTTACGGTCAATTTACATGATATAACATTTAATAAGTGCTAATTGTCCAAGTATTCATTGATTTTGCTGTTCAGTAATCAAATCAGGAGGCACTTATATCATAATTACTAATGGAATTACATAAGCAAGTAGATTGCCTCGAACAAAGGAAGCAATCTCGCAGCAGACTTGAGATTAATACATTATTTTCATATGAGTAGCATACCAGTATTTCTGTATACGTGTTGTCCCAACCATGCCTCCCAGTAGCCAACTTGAAATCCTCTTTACATAACCACTTAATTGCATACTTGAAATATGATGCCATTTCCACATACTCTGGCTTCTTTCATCTTTAAAAGTGGTGAAAAAAAGTTGAAGGCAGACTCGCCTTCCTGACAGATACCCCCCAAAAACATTTAAATGTATAGATCATTTTAGAAACATCAAAAAAAATATCAATAGACCAGCAAATTTGATGATATATCATGTTATCTAAAACTTGCATATTTCTTCAATAAATGAATGGGAACATCAATTTATTTTTTCTACTCCTATGTAGGAAGAAGTTGCCTTCGATAAGTTAAAGATTTGTTTATTTGTGTTTAAATCATATTGATTGTGTGAGGAGTCTTCATTGGTAAAAAGCACCTACCCCGTATTTATTCATTTTATTGGTACATCTTAGTAACGTCTGAATGTGACTAGGTTTGTGGTGCAGAGCAAGTAAAAAAAGTTTTTCATTATTAAATGATGTGACTGGCCTGCAGGGTTTATCGGATATAATTAAGGTCATAAATAGATACAAGAACCTAATAAAGGCATAATATACTAAATCTGTTAGAAATTGATATTTTAAGTTATAAACATTAATGTAAAAATTATTTGTGCAATAAATAAATTAAGATAATAAGCAAGAAAATTTAACACCAGGACCAATGACAAAACAAAGCAGCAAGTAGTACAATATCAAACACTTAAAATACCTTCTCTTTTCATGCCCATTGCTAGACACTTCATATATCGGCAGTACTGGCATCTGTTTCTTTGACGTTTATCTATTACACAATTTCGATCATCTCTGCAGGCATAGGTAAGGTCCTTCCGCACCGTTCTTTTGAAGAAACCTTTACATCCCTCACAACTGCGACAAGAAATGAAATCAGCATTATTTACAGTGGACCTAAGTTTCATGTGGGCAAATGTTTTATGTTATACTAGATTCATTTAAGTTTATATATATATATGCATCATGCATGCTTCCATTTAAATAACCATAGCTACCTATTTTATTTGAGAAAGAACCAAACTGGAAGAGGTCACACTAGAATCTTGGTATCCATCAGTGAAAGTTCATGAAATATTACTGGTATGCAGGCCTTTTCTTTTCCCCCCGATACAATCTCTGTTCTCTTATTTAACAAGCAAAGTTAAAGGCTCCTGAAAAGCCTTGGTACATCATGCAAACAAAATTGCAACAAGTTCTTCAAGGGCAGTTTTCTATGCTTTATTTTCCAATTTATCTGAAATTGGAGTATAGAAAGCTAGGGACCAATATGCCCATGTATAAACAGTTATTCCACTTGCAATAACAAAACTTACATGCATACAAAATCGAAGATGGCTGCCTGCTTACCATTTTCGTTTTCCTATCCAACTAAAACTGTAAGTGTGGGTCAAAACGATCATGCGTGCATACCAAGCTTTATCATAAACCTTAATAAAATGTGTTTAACAGACTGATTGACTGTCTGACTGAATGACATATATTGGACCACAAAAAATGTTCTAGGTGGTAATATACTGCAGTATTTTATGAGTAACAGTATTTGGCGATATAAATAAAGACATGTATGCAGTAGTATATTACATATTTTATATAAAACCAACTGTGCACCATGCATATCAGCTGTGTAATAATGATTTTAATAGACCAAAATAAAGATAGTTAAAAAGATCAACAAAATTCCAAAAGTCAGTCAGTAAGTTTGCAAAACACATGAACAGTATATGATTTGTACTGTGTCATAATTAGGGACTATAACATTCTTCCTAAAAGGGGCTTGCAATTATTTTAACAAATATATCTTTACGAAAGAAAAAATCTTTGTTTCATTGAAAGGCCCTGTACTTTTTACAAACTCACCTATAGACACCGTAGTGTTTTCCTGATGCCCGATCTCCACATATTGCACAGATGTGTTTGCTGCTGAGCGTTGTGTGTGGCATGTGTGGGTTGGGAGGTGACGATACGGACCCAGGGGATCCCATTGACATCATGGAAGGGGAGGTAACGGATGATGAAGGCGAGTGCATTCCTGGAGAGTGCATCAAAGGTGGGGAGGGCTGTGATGATGACGGTATGGACTGCATGCCTGCACTATAGCTAAAGTAGGAGCCAGGTGGGGATGCCATGTTCAACTGGGACAGGTCTGGTTTGATGTCCGGCGGAGAATTCACCGACATGGAATTCATGGACAAGTTTGATGACATCATGCCTCCCGATCCCGATGATATACAACCAGAAGCACTACTGACACTACTGTCAAGGGAATCTGAAAGGAACACAAATTAATACATAAATAGTATTTCATCAAGAATCGATGTTACATTTTTTTTTAGAAATTATCCTTAATTTACATTGTATACACACATTCATTTACCATTGGAAATACTGGCAAAGTTCAGACCATTTACTAATGAAGAGAGATCCTGTAATTATACACTAATCATATGGGCAATATTGACAATGTAACATGTATGCATATGTACATAATACTGTAATACTGTTAGAAATTTATTTAATCTTAAAAGGTTCCAAATGCCTCAATTACTTTGAAAGAAGAAGTCCATCAGAAATGGTCTTTCATGCTAGTATACATAATACAGCTACTTATTACATGTAGGTGATCTTTGCAGAAAACATTAGAAGTGTACTGTTCGACAGATTGATCGCTTTTTATTTGAAGATTTTTCACAGGCTTGTCTGGCCAGTGTAACTTCATACACACATTACCTTCTTTTGTTTACAATTACCTAATTGAATATAATCAAACATGAAACTAGGTGATCTGTACGATATCATTGGCTGCTATATTGTCCAAACTAACAGCGATTATTCTTGCCACCCATGTCGCTCAGCGTGCCGAAGGTCAGTATTGATTTTGGGTAATTCATAAGCATGGCATTTCTGCCACATAGATTTTGGAAATATGGACAAATAAAAAAAAACCTTTTTTTTTTTGCTTTAAACCTGCAAAATCGCATAAAAAAATAATCACTGCCTAATTTAAGTAATTATAGAACCAAACATGAAGGGAATAGATCTAGACAATTATTTTATCTGGCCCTCTGAATTTAAGAATCCCATATATACAATGTACCTCTGCCAAACACTGTAAATTGAATGGGATATTAGTGGGCGCAGGCATTGCTGCCTCTATATCCACATCAATATAGTTTGAAATTCATTGTGGTAAACATAAAATAAGCCTATATATAAGGCACTGTATGATCGTATAAATAAATAAATATACAACATTTGATATAGCACCCTATCTAGCTAACATATATGAGCCACTCTTAAGTGCTTTACAGTACATAGATATACAATTTTATACAGTCAATACAATTAGCATATATTAATCAATACAATATTGAGGAATTTGCAGGAAGTGCCTTATCAGGCGCTAACTACTAGTCCTATGCCACCTGGCTCATATCTGCCTATGTGTGTAAACCTGTGTGTGTGCTGGAGATGTATTGTGTATTCGTGTAACTACTAGTCCTATGCCACCTGGCTCATATCTCCCAATGTGTGTATAACAGTGTTATGCTGGAGATGTATTGTGTATTCGTGTAACTACTAGTCCTATGCCACCTGGCTTATATCTCCCTATGTGTGTATACCTGTGTGTGTGCTGTAGATGTATTGTGTATTAGTTTAACTACAAGTCCTATGCCACCTGGCTTATATCTTCCTATGTGTGTATACCTGTGTTTGCTGGAGATGTATTGTGTATTAGTATAACTACAAGTCCTATGCCACCTGGCTTATGTCTCCCTATGTGTGTATACCTGTGTGTGTGCTGTAGATGTATTGTGTATTAGTTTAAATACAAGCCCTATGCCACCTGGCTTATATCTTCCTATGTGTGTATACCTTTGTTTGCTGGAGATGTATTGTGTATTAGTATAACTACCAGTCCTATGCCACCTGGCTTATATCTCCCTATGTGTGTATCCCTGTGTGTGTGTATACCTGTGTGTGTGCTGGAGATGTATCGTGTATTAGTATAACTACAAGTCCTATGCCACCTGGCTTATGTCTCCCTATGTGTGTATACCTGTGTGTGTGCTGGAGATTTATTGTGTATTAGTATAACTACAAGTCCTATGCCACCTGGCTTATATCTCCCTATGTGTGTATACCTGTGTGTGTGCTAGAGATGTAATGTGTATTAGTGTAACCATGCATTGGATCTTTTCCCTGCAAGACTACAGCATTGATTAATCATTTCTGAACAGGAAACCATAACAGGACTACACAATATAGCATGAAGTTGAACAAGTTTCCTGAGTAACAATTCAGTGAGGCTAGACCAGTGTTGTAGCTAATTACATATATATGCCATCTTGAGCTGTGACTGTTATTTGGAAATCAATTTTCTAATCATCAGAAGTGACCCGGAACTTTGGAAATGGAAATACAATCCAAAATCAAAGCAGGCACTTTTTCATAGGAACGTAGGCTTTGTAGCAGAAATAAATGTTCTGTTCTTGTAACAGCCAACTTGAGCCGTAACTTTCAGAACTGAGCTATTGATTTAAGACTAGCTAGCAATCAACTTTGGGGCAGGGAATGATAGTGATATATACTAGATGCAATTCTTCATAAAATATTTCACTTCGGGTCAATGACAACCAAGACAATAATGATTCAGTAAAATATGTGTAACTCAGATTGAGGATTTTTTTTCATAATGTTTAACTGCAAAATCATCACAGATCACCACAGTTAACAAAATTATTGAAGACAGTGTGCAAGTTTTTACTACATATGTTTACTTTTACATCATGATCACCACAAAACAACTGAAGGCAAATGAGAAAACTATCTGTGTTTTATGATAATTGAGAAGATAATTGTGAAGTTTCACCATTGTATTCCTGCACATGTCAAGGCAAACAAGTAGGAAACAAAATTAATGGCAAATGCTGTAATCTCAGTGAAGGCTTTGAAGGAAATCCATAGCAATTAAATTCACAGCATGTAGAGATTGACCCGCTCCAAACGAAACATGAATCATTTGTGCTATATGAAGACAATGGAACTTTGCCCTAAATGTCTTAATCATTCCTAACTTGTAAACATTTAAGCATTGAAAGCTAATGTCAAGGATCTAATAAAACCAATATTTATTTATAAACAAAATATTTTTTTCCAAAACATTTTTCATACCAGATTCAGCATTGCTTCAAACATTTTAACAAACTGACAATTTCTGTGGTCAGCTTTCAATGAATGTTTTGATGTGATGTGTTTGCGATTTCCCTCGGGACTTACAGATTTAAAAATATTTACCTTTCATGACACTAGACATGTGATGCATAGAGCTTTTCACAATCGCTTTACCCACGATTCGATACGTATCTCGATATTTGTTCCACGATTATATCATTTCGATTTGATACACCTTTATTTAAAAGATATAAACATACGAGATATGTAAGCCGTCGATACACAGAAACCCCGCAGTGTTTCCACACTTTTTCATTTGAAGGTTGCCGGAGCATAACAAACTTTCATTTTCTTACAGCGGTCTGCCATTTTGTTATGAATGCTTAGTGAAAATTGCATCCTCGCAGCCAATTGGTTGAGGGTTTAGAGATCAGCCAATGAAATTGAACGTCTCACAGACATTTCGGCTGAAGCGGCATACACTAATATTCAGATTGTGGCGCATCGAAAATCCGGACAATTTATTGTGAATCGAATCGAACATAAATAATTGCAGTAAAAGTTCATCGCGGTGAATTGTGACACCTCTATTGATGAAATGCCTTGGGCAAGACTAATAAAATCCTTTACTTGCATCTTAATTTTGAATGACATTGATTTTCTGATTGCAATGTATGAAAGAGTACTACACCAAGACACTGTAACATGGAAGACCTTATATTTATTGCATGTGCACTCAATGTGATCTTCATCTTTGTTCCTTCCTGCGTCAATATTGACGATTACAAAAGATTAGGTCTTGTGCTGTAGTGCATTGTTATGTCAATGATTTTTTTTATTATTTGCTATAGCCTATAGTTAAATATTATCCTGATAAACTATTTCTGGGTGCCTGGTACAGTTACAAGTTTTAACCTTTGGGTTAACCGACTTAAAGTAATAAAGATTTTGAACTAGAACTTGGGTGGACTTTAATGCTGTATGTACCCTAGTCCAAATTATTCTGACGTTTTATCAACTTTTTTCATATCGGTCTGTCGTAGATTAATGTCAGAACTCTATAATATGCGGGAAATATGCGACCCGCGCCCGTAGCGCACTTCCAACTGATATTTTAGAAACAAATCGTCACTTTCACACACATGTCGGACATGGATCGAAAGATCTATTCTTTATGCAGAAGATGAACATACATAACATGCCTCAAACAACCAATACAATCACTAAAAACATATTTTTTCAAACGTACTCTGTTTTACTCTAGTTTTTTGATAGCCCCGCCTTCTAATGCCACGTGACTAAAATCTTGCTGGCCTACGTCATGACGTTGGGAAATACCTTGGTAACGTGAGATCTCGTCAAGTCATGTGACATTGCTCATGGCCTAATTTCCATTAAAAACATGGGTTGGTATAGAAAACGTTGGAAAAGACTTTTCGTAATGATCTTTGAAACATGTTATTGATACCACCTAGTGCATAGAGAATAGATCTTTCGATCCATGTGCGACATGTGTGTGAAAATGACGATTTGTTTCTAAAATATCAGTTGGAAGTTTAAGTTCAATTTGTTTATTTAAGTGTCACATATCACAATTACATTTATGTTCATTAATACATATAAAATACTTGTACAAAATATAAATCAATTCCATTGGTACATATAAAATACTTGCAGTTGGCTGTTTCCTAGAACTTAAAATAGTTTGTTTAACATAAAAAAAACTACTTGTAATTGAAGTGCGCTCCAGGCACGGGTCGCATATTTCCCGCATATTATAGAGGGCCGGGGGTTCTGATTTTAATCGTTGAGACCGATATGAAAAAAGTCCATAAAATGTCAGAATAATTCGGACTAGCTGTACCCATGAAACCTTTGTCATAAAAGGTTTCTTCTCAATTTTCATAATAATTCATTCAAACAAATAGTCCATCAGTACTGTATGATGGATGCAGAAAAAACTAACAGGGGTCAAGAGTTTTCAGGCTTAGCATAACGCATTACCAGCTAATGCATGCTTAAGTTTCATATCTTTTAACTGTCCATGCACTGGGTATGCGACTTCATAATAATATGTTGACATGCACCATAATT